CAAACTTTTTTGTCATCATTTCTTTATTAATTTAAGCTTTTATAATAGATAATCGTCACTATGAAACAGACAATGATTAGACATAAATTACGAAGTTTCTTTTATGTTAGCTTATTTATTTTTAACGAAGAACGATTGTAGCTAATAACACATCAAATGGAGTTTAAGAAACTTCTTTATTAATTTCATGAAAACTTTTTAAAAAAATTTATTTTCCTGCAATATCATTCCATATAAAAACTTTTTCCATTCCCATCCCACCTACTCGAGACCCGTACTTCGAAATAACGATAGCGAAACGCTCTTTCTGTCTTTTCTTCGAATGTATAACGAAAGAGAAAAATCTATGTCCCTATGTCCCAATGTCCCGCGTATTAAAACAAACATCTTTTCAGAATCATTCTCATTTCTCTCTCTTCAATCGTGAAAGATTGACACAATTAATCTTGGAAACAACAACGTTTTTTTTGAATCAACATAATCAATCAAGCTATGTCATATCACTCACTAATAAAATTTTATTTCCATGAATCACTCTCTCATATCATTTATAGAATAATGAACAATTCCAATCTCAACTAGATTCTAAACTCTACTGCCACATATGTGTAATATAATTTGCGGAAAAGTATTTAAACAATGGATGAATGTTGCTTCTCTTATTGAAACATACCCTCGCATACAGCGTATGTTTTTCTAGTATTCAAATGGATTTTAACCTTTATTGAATATGCATAAGGCTTGTGAAGTGTATGTTTTGTACTGTTCAAGCTAAACATTTCTTTTCTCTAATAGAAATAAAATGACTTTTGCAACGATCATTGTCAGTAGAGAACCACCATCGACGAGTTTACTCGAAATATATTTACAATTCTAATAATGCAATGCAATATCTGTCTGGATTTTCAAATCAGAGCAATAAACTTTATAACTGTTTCACTCAGCATTATTCTCCTTCATCTTAATGAAAACAGCACATGAAAATAGACTTGAAACATATTTTTATTTGTCACTACGTGAAAGCAGATTTATTACAATCGAAAAGTAATATAAAATGATCTATGATAATTCTCATGGAAAAATAAACGTTTTGTTTTACATCATCTGTTGGTTAAACGTCATTGTTGGAGCGATCGCACGTTCTTGTCGTCCAAATAGTAAAATTTTCTTGAATTTTTGTCTTAACTCTGCTGATGATCCTACTGCAATTATTGGAAAGATTAGTAAAGCATAATAAGATGAGAATCTTGCAATTGATAAAAATGCGCCACCTATAGAAGCGGATAAGCCACATAGTTGAAGAAGAACTACGATCACATACGGAAATGGGAAAATTAGAAAGACACACGATATTGGTAACACTTGCATTGTCATTATTCGATATCGCCGCCATTGAAATTGCTGTTTCATGCGATATTTTTGCCAGAAAACACGTAGTAGCAACGCAATACTTGAAAAAACGATGATAAAAGTTGGCAATATTGTATGCGCTATGATTTCATATGTCTTGAGTGCATTGTTTGCAAAAGCACAGGGCATGTAATTTGGAGCCAACATATTTTCGAAATTATAAGTACATTTTGAAGCAAAAAATATTATGGCATAGTAGAGTAGACAGTAGATAGTTAACAGAATTGGAGGGATATAATGAAAGAGTAGACGGTTTCTACTGGTAGATAGTAATTGATTATGAAAGATAAGAATATGTCTTTCTGCTGTGATCCAAGCATATAGGATGTATTGAAGAGTAAAAACTGCCCAATCGATATAACCAAAAATAAGATGAAATGCCAGTGTCGCTGAAAAAGTTTCGAAACAACGAAAGTAATGAATAAAATAGATCATGTCTGTCAATTGGTAAAAAGCATTAATAATGAGAACAACAATTATAATATGATTGTGTAAAGATTGCCGAAGATTTTTATCACGAAAGAAATTGTATAGACCAAAACATAAGGATATCATCGCTGGAATAATTAATAGAAGAAAAATCCAGAATTGTATCAAGTAGAAATGTTCTAGATTGGCATATATTGAGGCCATACTGTAATTGGAAATGTTGTTTGTATTCGGCATGTTTGAGAAAAAAGGAATTTAGCCTGAATAAAGAAGATTTCAAGAATTATATAAGAGAAGAGAGATCGAGACTAGAGTTGATCCTTTACTTTCTGTTTCCTGTATACTAAAATATAAAGATAGAGTAATGAAAAAACAAGTTATATTCATTAATAATTAATGTTAAAGTAAAACAATAGCTTGGAGATATATGCCCAGAACGATAGAAGTAATACTCAGAAATATTTCTATAATTGAAGCTTTGTGCTTTTTCCCTTCAGATATTGACTACAAAAGCGACAAATCTAATATCATATGACGAATCAGCATAAACAATGGGGTTGACTTATGTTGATTTTTATTCTTTTAGAGGTTTTACCAAGCATGGATTTCAACAGTAACGAACGAGTGATAAATTTGTTAAATCGTAGCAGGTCTCTAGCTTAAGGATGCATAGGTGATGAAAAAAATATTTTAGTGGAATTCGCTGTATGGGCTATTTGTTGTGAACGACAGTACCGATGACTTTTTCAATGAAAAGAAAAAGTCTCAGAAAGATTTAAAACCTCCAATAGTCAACTCCATATGTTATGCTGATTTAGAATATGATATCAGTTTTGATCGGTATTTCATTCTATAGTAAGTTCCTTCTGTTTCAAATAAATATTTTCAATAATAAAAATCTTTCCGAGGATCCGCTATATCGGTCTAGACACCCAGGTCGTTCAATTCCAGTGCAGGAACTGATAGAAAACTATCCGATCCGATCAGGAATCCAACGAAATACTATCGGATTTCGGGTTCAGGAATTGATGTTGGATCCTCAGGGCCGGATTTCAATAAGTTCCTGAATACAGAATTCTACAGGATCCTAATCTAATAAAGTTTCAAAATCCGACAATCCAACTACCGAAAAATTCCGACTGTATCCAAAGCACGATGGGCCCAAATTCCCATTGGAAAAATTCCCATGAAATCTGCATCGGATACCATGCTAGTTTTCTAGGAAATTCCGACAGTATCCGCAACTAGGACTCATCCATATTCCGATCGGTGACAATTCCGATAAAAATCTCATAGGAAACTGTAGGAGTTTTCCGAGATCCCATCGTATCTTTTAAAAATCCGACAATAGGATCCTAATACGAATCCAATCAACAAAAGACGTCGGGTTTCTCCAAGATCCTATCGAATGCAACAAAAATCTTCTAATTTCTGACATTCGGACTTACCCATACAATGGTTATGATTATTTGCACATTCGAAGTTCAAAAACACTCATAAATCTCTGATCATATTCACACATTTCAGAGCCTCCCATACAAAATCCGACACCAGTAAATATAAATCCGGGTGATTTTCGCTATTTATATCACCAACTTATACAGAGCTCACGAAAAGACAATTCTGCACTAGAGATTGTACTTTAACATTAAAAACAGCTTGAAAAACCTTGTTATCGCAGCCCCTTTGGAGCTAAAATGTGCAACTTACATATATCCTTAGGCTTACTAAAACAATCCAAAATAGTTCATCTGAAAGATCTATCTTGATTTCCAAAACCTATAATTAGGTCATTGTCTATTTGCTTATGTCTGTAATGGAGTATTAATTGTTAGCTCGTATATTTAACAGTGGCAGCGACTAGTTTCTATGGTCTGTAATGGGTAAGCATTGGTTTTTCGTGTAGTCTGTAATTAAAAAAGAAAGGAATAGCAGACTAATTAGTCAAGATTCTAATTAGCACAATTTTTAATTAATGTCTGCAATGGGAAGCGGTGGAGAGCCGCAAAAATCTCGCTTGTAAACTTACACTCACTATTTTCTTCGAAAATATATGTGAGTTCCACAAAAGTATTAAGGTTTTAAAGTAGTACACTTTAACATTAACTTTGATTTTTAAACAGTGGATGTGGACGAAATTAAAGAAACTGACAATAAAAACAGAGCAATTTGTCAATTAAAATCAAAGAATCTCCTGGCATTTCCACGATAAGCGAATAAACATACTTCTCAGAAATGTTATTGATGATTTCTTTAATTTAGTCTACTTTAACTACTTCAAAAGTAAAGCTAAAGTTAAAGTGCTTTAAAATTGTGGGCTACAGTTCGTTATGAGTAGACAGAGGATAATGATACACTATCCTATTAAGATATAAAAATTTCATTCATTTTAATTGAAGATAAAGTTTTAAAGTGTACTACTTAAACATTATAACTTAAAGTTAGAAATACCACTAAAACTTAAATTTCTACAACAAAGTTAAAGTCTCAGCCCTATGCTGCACACGTTCAATTACACCATTTTGTGGAACTCACATATATTTTCGAAGAAAATAGTGAGTGTAAGTTGAATTGTTAGGTTTTTGCGGCTCCCCTGTAGCCCACCCCCACCCCCTCTCCATTACAGACATAAAAAATAAAAAAACTAACACTTCGGTGCACTGATTAGATAAAATTTTTATACAGATGGATTGCCTATGTTCACCACTACTCACATCAGTAATAAAAATCTAGTTTCACTAATTAGAAATCATTATAATTAGGATTTAGCCTCTAATTAATCATCAAAATCTGTCGTTTTTATTATTATAGTCCATAGTTACGATAATAGCGCATATTTTTATTATTATAGCCCATAGTTACGACAGTATTATATTTTATTATTATTAAAGACGTTCGCAACCAGTGTATGCTACCGCTACAGAAGCTAGTAACTAGTTTATGCTACTATTACATTCGTTACTTCTACCACCTACAATAAACAGATGAAGATTTTAATCCTTTTTTTCTCACACGAATACCTTATTCTAGAGCTTGAGCCCACTTTAGTGTATTTACAATTCGGAACTTTTCCATCCACTGGGAAGCTTTTATCAAATTTTCGTTTATGAAAACATGTATCGATTTCTCACCTGGTAATACGAAAAAATATAAATTTCTCAACAATATTGACAGCTATATCATAAATACTGTTTGAACTATTATCACTCACAATATTTCTCAATGAAACCATTAAACACTTCAGCATACTGACATATTTTAAACAAAAAGTTTTTCATACGTTCTCTCTAGTAATATTCCCTATTGATAGATCCAATAAACTTCAAATGTTAAAAAGGTTTTATTATCCTATTTTTGAACAAAATATGATCTCACTACACTGAAAAAATAAAACTTCTATTTGATCAGTATCTAATTGATCGAAATATGTGAGTTCCACATTTTAGCCCCAACGGGGCTGCGCTGACAATCTTTTCCATCACAATCCATTCTGCACCTTCCGATAAGCGAAGTTATTCTCACTACCATACAGTACCCAAAACATAAATCTTCCCAATCTACCTCCTTAATCTACTTCCCGGTGTACCAAACCCGCATTATAGAGATCTTGATTATTACCAATTCCGTGAATAATCCACAACCTGCTATAGAAAAGCGACGGAATGAAATGAAATTATTCATGACTGCCCAGAGTCACTTAATATACAACTCACAAAACCCAACCCACCAAGTGGTTTCCCATAATGCCTTTGACAGACAACCCGTTTTAACCGACACAGAAGGAAAGCCTACTTGAAATACTTTTCATCCTACTGAAAACCAATCCTATCATCCAACAGTAATAAAACATAAAACCCTATGTCACTCATTCTGAACAACAAACGCCCATCATCACTTCCAAAACACTGGTTAAACGAATCCAACAACGAATCGCTCAAACTTTAACAAAAAACCTCTCTCAACCACACTGCAAAAATAACGTAGAATAATAAACCCTTTGATAAATCTTTCAAAAGGGTTTATAGAAGGGTATATAGAATGGTTTAGTATCTTACTAAACCCTTTCAAATACCCTTCTAACGGCTTTCGGGAAACTTAGTTTTAGCCAAAAACCATGTTCAGTTGAATGATTCATCGAAGCAAATCTATTTGAGAAAAATTAAAAACATTATTTTTTTAAAATAATAACTACCTATGATTTTGAATCAGCTTTTCTACTAAAAAAATAAAAATAAGAATTATTTAAAGAAAAGTATACTTACTTGTGATTGCAATTTCGAATTTTACACTAAAAGAATAAAGATCATAAATATGTAGATAAAACTATACTTATGTTTGTTTCTGAAGTTGTTGCTTCACTAAAAGAATAAAAATAAGAATTATTTAATGAAAAATTATACTTCGTTCGATTTTGGATTAAAAATTGATTGAAAGAAAAAAAAAGGAATAATTTAAATGCAAAAATTATACTTAACTAGAATTTTCACTTCTGTATTTAACTAAAACATTAAAAGGAATAATTCTAAGAATAAAATTATACCTACTTACGATTTTCAATTCCAAATAGAACT